ATCTATCCGTACTTTCCTCAATGATTGCCTTGACTTCACCAAGTCCCTTCGACTACTACTGCTCACTGCACTAATCCCATCCTAGGCTTACCCTAGGGTAACTCTCCGACCTACTCTCCGCCATCAGTTGCATAAGGAATCCCTGCTACCTCTACCTAACTAGCTTGTGAATACCATTACATATCACTATGACCAGATGATTCTTCGAATGAGAGGTCCTACCCTACAACGGTTGGACTCAAACAAGAGCTCCGAAGTAGGGCTAGACCTAACCTTCTGAAATTATTTAGTCCTCGCAATATGTAACTTAACGTATTCGTTTACTAGTTAGTTAAAGATAATTACAAAATCCTAAAAGCATAAAGCAAGCAGCATTCGAGCATTGAGTAACCATACCAAGCATTTCATTCCTAGATCCTCAGCAGGCACATATGGTATCTTCCTAGATCCTCAACCCTAATCTAGCATGCAGTTCTCATAACATATAATAGGCATATAAGGCATCCTTCCTAGATCCTTAACCCTAATCTAGCATGCAGTTCTCATAATCATATCATATCCTAACATAACATGTATGGGTATCTTGGGGAAAACTTACGTGAGCTCGGCCGGTTGCACGCATCACACACCTTGTTCTTTCTCAAAACTCCTTATTTTAAATTTTTGCAAAACTAGTTTCTCGTAAAAAAAATCTTTCAAACCCTCGATTTGATTCCAGACACCCCCGAAGGTGTGTCTGAATCCCTCAAACCAAGGCTTTATTGCCAACTTGTAACATCCCAAACTTCAAGACCAAAAATTTTGTTTTTAATTAAGTAATTTATAAAACAGTTTACTGAAAACATCATCAATATCATATCAAACCCATAAACCCATAAGTCAAATGACATAAAACATGTCATGGAATAATAATGTCAGAGTACAATCCCAAGAACATCATGGTGCGGAAAATAATGGTGTGATGCGCTGTTACCGAGCCGACTCTTTTCCCTTCGAAGAAGAAGGACCTGAAACAAAAACTGTAAACCGTAAGCACAAAGCTTAGTGAGTTCCCCCATCATACCACATACCAAACTATAAACACATTGCCAGGAATATCTGGGTGTCCGACCTACCCTGCTGAGCATACCGGGGTGCTCAACCTACCCCTGCTAGGCATACCGGGGTGCCTAACCTACCCCATGTCAGGCATATCTGGGTGCCCGACCTATCCTCCGGTGTTTCTCAACCGATTACGGGCACTATTTCACCCCCTACCACTACCACATAACAACATAACATAAACATACTGTCAAGCATACTGGGGTGCCCGACCTACCCATTGGGTCCTTTCGACCTGATACGGGGACTATTCCCCCTACTACCACTATCACATGACATCATACCAGGCTAGCACATAAAACATAACAGATAGTGGCAAACCCAGATAACTATCACAAAGAAAGTTATCTGACATACAACTCCTACTAGTGGGCCGACATTGTGGCCGTAGACCCACTTCTATTGGAAGGTAACTCACCTCAATGTCGTGCAGTAACTGAACTGTCCTCGGTGTTGGGATCAACTCTCCTCAAACTCCTACACATAATAGTCTCCTTTAATTTCTCCTTTATAGTCATATCCCCTTTAAGGGTCAATCTTTGGTAATAGTCAAAGTCAAAGTCAAATTCAACGCCCTGATCAAAGTCAACATCCTTATTGACTCAACTCGGCGAGTTGGTCCATCAACTCGTCGTGTACCACAATTCAGAGAATCTAAAATTCGCGATCTGACTCGTTGAGTACCCTCTAACTCGTCGAGTTTCTCCTTATGACAGAATCAGCACTTTCCATTTGAACTCGTCGAGTTCTCCTTCATACAGTCGGGACATTTGCTCACTGACTCGGCAAGTTCATCCTTGGACTCGTCGATTTATTGACCTTTAAGTCCAAAACCACGTCTAACTGGCTGAGTCATCTTCTAGACTCAACAAGTCGCTAAGTAACAGATAAGGTTGGGGAACCACGACCCGACTCGCCGAGTCCTAAGCACGACTCGTCGAGTCCCCCATGATCTAAAACTAAATATTCGATTTTAGTCGGGCTTAACGCATCCAAAACATAGATCTGGCCTCCTAGGGTCGATATAACACGTAAAGTTTCTAACTTTACGTGCATGCATGGGTTATATAGCTCAAAAAGCACTAAAAAGTGGTTCCTAGGATGCATGGGACTCCCATGGCCATAAAGTTGGCACCTTTATGCCATGGAGTCTCTCATAGGCTCTGGATCGGAACTCAATACCCCAAAACATGCTTGCATCCGTGAATGGTTCCCAAAAATGGTTCCTTAAAGCCCTAAACTACTCCAAGAAGAAATCTAATAGATGAATGGTCAAGGTATAAACTTTATACCTCAAATGAGCTAGAAATGGAACACAACCTTTGGATCTACTTGCTTTCTCTTGAACTCCCAAGCTTCTTCTTCCTTCTCAAGCTTCAAATCCACCAAAAACACACAAAAATGGCTCAAGAACACTCAAAATGGGTTAGGGTTTCGAATTAGGGTTTTCTGGACTAAGGGAGGCGACGCGGGAGGCCACAATGAGGGTGTTAAGGTGTTTAAATAGGGTGCAAACCCTGAAAATTAGGGTTTCACTCTGGCAGACCTACACGTCGATTCGAGGCACCTTGACTCGTCGAGTATACTTCAAGTCCCGTGTCCAACATAACCATTTCCTACTCGACGAGTTTTGGGGCCTCCAACTCGTCGAGTCCCTTAACAATTATGAATAATTTTTATTTAAATACGTACCTAGAACCGGGCGTTACAAAGTATCTGTACTTATTGAAGATGAAAGTGAAGTTTATGTTTTGATAGATAAGAAGACAAAAAAAGTTGATTGATAAAAATGTGAATGAGGATGAAGATTTTGATGATTTTTATCGAAATAGTCTTCCTTCTCATTGTTCTAATACTCGTTACAAGGTATGTCTCTTTGTCTAAATAGAGTTTATTAAATATAAAATGTAGTTTAAAAATTCACACTGTGAATGTAAGATGTTTTGCCAATTCACAGTGTGAATTCTTATAGAGTTATAAATTGGTTTGTACTTTTCATTAGATTAGTATGGAATATGTATTTTTTTGTGAAATTGATTTGAAGTACATATTTATGTTATAGTATTATGATTTCTAATGTCCTGTTGATTAATAATGTGAATCAATGTTAATTTGTATAATTTTTATTGAATGGTATGAGATAGAATTTCTTATTCACATATTAATTTGTTTATTAATGATAATTTTGTAGGTTGTATTTAGTAGAAGGGGTGATAGCATTAGCATTAGTTGTAGCTGCATGCGTTTGGTCCAGGAAGGATTGTTATATCTTCATATGTTTTTCATATTAAATATGAAAGAGTATGATGAAATTCCATCAAATTTCATTTTGAGGAGATGGGGACAAGATATCATAGTTGATGGATTGTTGAGAAAAAAGTACTCGTATCCTCATAAAGGCAGTAAAAATGAATGTTTGATTCAAGATGCGTATGCTATTCTTCGTTTGTCAATTAACAAGATAGCAAATAATGAGGATGAGTTGGCTAAATATATAAAGCAACTTCATGAGGTTGATAGTGGTATTCCTTTATGTACCTCATCAAGGGCATCTTCGAGTAGATTAGTTCACATTGAAAAAATTATTGGAGCTACAGTACCTGATGTTATCAACATTCATAATCCACAAGGGATGGGTCATTGGTAAAAGAATCAAGAGCACTACAGAGAAAGCGATTGAGACATCTAAAAAGGGTTCTAGGTTGTGCAGTTTATGTCATAAACCAAATCACAATGCTAGGAGTTGCATTTTGTGGTTAAAGAAGTCTGATTTAGAATCTAAGGTTACAGAAAGCTGATTGTTTCTATTTTTTTTAAGACTACTAAAATAAAATTTGATTTTTGTAATGATCATTCAATGGATAGAAATGTTGAAATATTCATGTTTATTTTGATATTCATTGTTTTAGACTTTATTTCTAATAATAGAATATATTTTTTTCGAATTTATTGTTTTTGGTTAAAGATATTTTTTTATTGTTAGTTTTTTGAATGTTTTCTAATAAAATTTTCATACTAATGATTTAATTTATGTATATTAATTATCATTGTTAATCTAACATATAAAATTTTCATGTTAAAGATTGTCTTTATGTAATTTAATTCACATTGTGAAGCTCAACTATAAATTGTTCTAATGATCTATATGAACCGTAATTCACATTGTGAACCTCACATATAAAATATACATGTTATAATATGTACTGTAATTCACATTGTGAATCTCACATATAAAAATTTCACAAGGTTAATGTTACTTTATATAAACAATGTAAATTTTCTACATCTATTGTATAGTTATTACATTAACATTTAATCATTTAGACCAAAATAAATGAAGTAAATGCATGAAATGACAATGTACTTTCAATTCTTTATTCAAAGTAGAAATATACCTACCCTCCCCCCCCCCCCCCCCACACACACACACCAATATCATATCTTTAATAAAACATGTAATTGTATAACATACATGTAGACATTCACATGAAAATATAAACATATGTTAGGTATTAGTAAAGTTCATTATATTTTATATAGAAACTCACATCAAATTGTAACATAACAAGCATGTATATGTTCTTAAAGAAATTAAAGTGTATCTAAACTTATACCAATTATGAATAGAAAACTAAGTTTTAATTTTTACACTTCTTTTTCCAATCCTTGAAGTACTATATCCTTTCTCCCCTTTTTTCCCATCCCTTGTCGAGCAAATATTGTATTTCTTCATTAGTCTTTTTTGCAAACTTAGCTGTTTGTGCAATGATTTTTGACATGTATGTGTTTGCGTCACTTAATAGTATCTTTGTCAAATACTTAATGTGTAAATCATTTAACACACTTTGTTGTGGTTTTGATTCTTTTGGCAACCCACATGTCCAATTTACTATTTTATTTCACATATATGTCTCCATATGACGCATGCAAAAAACTTCACAGTCAATATGATTATCCCTCGTGCGCCAATTCATGTTCACCCTTTCTGGTTCAACACCCTCCAAAATTAAAGCTGATTTGTGATTGACCTTCATCAAGTACCTACTAAAAAGTATTTTCTGCAAAAAAGAAATTGTCATTTTCTATAATTATTATTTTATTCAAATTATCAGTCTATTAGTACTTATATTTAGAATGTAAATTTACTCTTCTTACCAATTCATTAGGTGCATCACGATAAGCTCTAGAAAACTTTGCAATTGAATTCATATTGTCAATGACATTAACCGCTGGTTCCTTTAAGTTTATGCAGATGATGTAAAAGTCATTTTTCTGATGAACTGGGAAAAACACATGTTTTAATATTGTAAATTGTTAAACTTTGTTTAAAAGATGTAATATATTCAACAAAAAGAACAATTTATTACCAAGTGAACTTTTTCAAATGTCAGAATTTCTTTGTCCTTTTTCATTTCATCTTTGATATTTGACTCAAATTTATCAGATCTTTCAATGAAAGGGATATTTTTGTCAAATATGAACTGTCTCTACAAAAAAATTTAAATATACATCAAACTTTAAAGAGTAAATTGTTAAACTCACAATAAGGTAAATTTTAAATTTAAAATTATTCACACTGTGAATTATAATAGGATTCACTGTGAATTTTATTACTTATTCAGAACTATTGAAAATTTTATTTATTATATGATCAACATTATCACGATATATATTTTTTAATTAACTTACCACCATTGATGTATCAAAGAAATACCGATTCACTGCAGAATTTGATTTGAGCTTTTCTTCATAGTTCAAAACATCAATCCAAGCATCAATGACATCTGCATGTATCCATAATCCTGTCTGCATGGTTTCAATTATTCCTATTCCAAGCACATAACCTCTCTTAGTTTGAAATATCTTCTCACTTAATTTTGTAATCAAATAAAACAAAAAAGCAGTTAATAGAAAATTAATTTATATTTGTATTTATATACTATTGTATTTAAAGAAAAGATAACATGAATTATTACCATCTATTACCAATTCGGGAAAAAATTCTATCTGATACTTTTACTTCATCTGGATCTACAAATTTCGATGCACAAACCTCTTTTTGATTATAAAGAGAAGATACCTTCAGTGATGGTTTTTTTAATCTTTTTCCTACATATCTTTTTCCCTCTTGATGATCTTTAATTCCCAAGATATTATTGTCACATTTTGTTTCTTTTGAATCATAACTTTCTTCTTCATCAAGTTTTTCATCTTTTCTTTCTTTCTTCTCTTGTTCATCTTCACTGCTTTCATCTCCTTCCTGAAACTCTTGTGTTAGACCAAGACCAAGTCCAAGTGAAAAACTAGGCATTGATGATTTTCTAGTATTTTTTTTTCTTTTTTTATCATCTATTATTGTTTTTTATTTATTTGTTCTCCAAAACTTTTTATATTGACAAAATCATCATAATCATCAAAATTTAAAATACATTGAATAGAATCAGCAATCTCATGCACTATTGGATCATTGTACAAATTTCCTGGTGTTACCATGATTGGTTGATTCTTTATTTTTTTGGCTGGTGTAGTTTCTACATTCGCATCTTTATGTATATGACCCTTATTCCCATCCACCTTATTCGCATCCCTTTCTCCATCTTCATTCTCTTCACTTTTTTGCATCATCTTCATTCATCACATTTGTTTCATCTTCATTTTGACTTTTATAAATGAATTCTTGTTCAAAGACTTTCTTTATATCTTTCAACTCATCGCTTTCTGTGAATTTTGTTGTTGGAAACTCAATTAACTTTCCAAACTTCATTTTATCATTCACTAGTTTTTTATAATTCTTTTTTGCTTTGAATACCAATTCCTACAAAATGAAATAAAAAATGTCAATAACAATGAATTCTTTAACTTTTTTCTATAATAATTTACAATTTCACAATATGAATGCATTGATGAGGTATCACACTTTTAATGCATTTTAATAAATTACATATTCACTATGTGAATTTATTATAGAAAAAGTAATAAAATACACATTTATATTCACAATGTGAATCACTTTATGAATTCATCTTAACTACAGTTTTATAACATATATCTGCAATACAGCTTCATAATTCTTTTTAATTATATAGATTATTAACTTACATCGAGTTTCATATCTTCATTTTCATCGGTGTCGGATTCTTCATCATTCGCTATAACATCATCATTCCGTTCCAAAGTCACCACTCTTTAACTCTGCTTTTTCTCTTTTCACCATCATCTCATAATCCCAAAAATGTAGTGCATGTATTTGTCTTTTTTCACTCTTATCATTTCTCATAAACTCCAAATAAGCTAGCTGTTTATGTAAACAAAATTATGATTAATTAGTTTTCTTAGAATGATATAAATAAAAGTGTTTTTTTATAAAAAATTTCCTTACCAATAATACAAGAAGTGGCCCACAATAGTAGTTTCCTCTATCGGTTTCATCCCACGTTGTCTTTGACATTTTCAAGCAATTGGTTATAAAACCACACCAATCAATTTCTCTCATTGGTGTTATGCCTAACAAATATGGCAATACTATTGTTTTACAAGTTCCAGGCTTATTATGTTCACAGATGGTATTAACAAATAGTAATAGAAAGTTTTGTTATGAAAAAATCCTTGAATCTGATGATTCTTTAATCCACTCTTCAACATATGATGGTCTCATAGCCTTGAAATTGTACTGTTGCTTCCAATCCATTAATTCTTTTCCTTCACATTGATCAGTGTTATATATATATATCTTTTCCACCTGGAGGATTTCCAAGCAAATCATGAACAAGAGCTAGTGTTATGTCTATCTTTGCATTAGGTAGATGCATTTTCATATCTGATGGATTGAATGAATTCACAACAAAACGTGCTAATTTCTCAGAAATTCCATTGGTTGCAATTCTCAACAAAGATCCTAATCTCATTTCTCTAACAGCTTTTTCCGTTCTTTGTTTAAAGATTTAACGATATCATAAAACTTCTTTGGGCTCATTAATTCTTTTCCTTCACATTGATCAATGTTATATATATCTTTTCCACCTGGAGGATTTCCAAGCAAATCATGAACAAGAGCTGGTGTTATGTCTATCTTTGCATTAGGTAGATGCATTTTCATATCTGATGGATTGAACGAATTCACAACAAAACATGCCAATTTCCCAGAAATTCCATTGGTTGCAATTCTCAACAAAGATCCTAATCCCATTTCTCTAACAGCTTTTTTCTGTTCTTTGTTTAAAGATTTAACGATATCATAAAACTTCTTTGGGCTCATTCTTGTTCTCAAAGATACTTTGTTATTTGGATTGATTGACACTTTTGCCTTTTTTTACTTTGACTACTTCCAGAGTCTTTGTCTTGAGAATCTTAATTTTTATATCTGCTTCATTTGTTTTTCTTTTTCTTTTTCCTGATAGTCAATAATTTTCGTAAGCTTCTGTGACAACCCGAAACTTTTTCCGTTATCGTTACCCAGTTTCCGTTAATAAAATTTAGGTTTTTATTTAATTCCGTCAAATTCCTTAGTTTGGGAAGGACTTCGCGTTTTAAATAAATCAATTCGGATTTATTTCCGTTCACGTTAGTATTATTTTTGGTCTAACGGAATATTCTAAGCTCAGTTCAATCGAGTTTTGGATTCAAAAACGAGGTTTTCTAAGTCAAAGCATAGCATCCGGGCCAAACAACCCTTCGAGAGGAGTTTACGGCCGCAAACTCAGTTTACGACCGTAAACCCTGTTCACGGCCGTAAACCTCCACTCCACCCTTGGCCGTAAACTCACCCCTATATAAGGGATGAGTGGCCTTCATTTCTCACTTTACACACTCCAGAAGCTTTCTCTCTCTCTCTCTCTCTCTACAAACTTTGAATTTGCTCAAGGATCCTCAAGAATGTAAGTGATTGTTCATTTTAATTGTGTTTCTATCCTTATTCTAGTGATGAATCCATGTCTCATCTCCTAAATTTCATCATTTTCTAGATTTTCTCTCTCACCAAGAACACACATTAGTTCTTAGTGGCTAAAAACCTCATTCCAAGCTTCTTAACAGTAAGTAACTACCATCTATACTTGTTATCTACTAGAAACCATCGATTTTCGCCTAAAAATTGACCAGAAACGCATGAACGACCGTACACCCTTCAATGGCCGTAAACTCCATTTTTGGTCGATTATTGACCTTTAAACTCTTCCTTGAGCTGGGCACGAGGCTTAGAACACTTCCAGAAGGCTAGAAAGGACCTTGAAACACCGAAAATCGCATTTTTCGCCAAGTGTTTACGACCATAAACCCATGGACCGCAAACCCTTGGGCCGTAAACATATGGGTCGTAAACCCTATTGGGCCGCAAACCCTTGACCGTATACTCCTTTTACGACCGCAAACTCCCCATTTTCAAATCACATGCGATTCTAACACTTAGTTTCAAGTGTTTCCTGGTCCCTAGGATGATTTCCTTCCATAACAAATAGTGTTAAGCCCTCACCTAATGCATATATGTACTTTTACATGCTAAATAGGATCCGTTTGTGCCCGAGGCATTATTTGACACTCAGCAATTCCTAGCAACTTACACTCGAATCCCACGTCAAACTGTGAGTTCATACCCCTACGCCTTTTCCGAGTTTTTCATGTTTTCAGGGGGGCAATACAAGCAAAAGTACAAGGAAACTTGTGCTCAAAGTATATTATTTTGTATAAAATAATTATATGTTCAGTATGCTTTTAACACAGAAAACAGTTTTACCAAACGATTAAGAAATCAACTCGTAGAAACAGTTTTTAAAACTAAAGCAATGAACTTGTGAATCTTGTCATAAAATGTGATACTTTATAAAGGATTCATACAACTCATAAACAGGATTTTCGGTATTAGTACATGCAAATTGTTAGTCTAAAGTTGGAGACACGTCGTTGGTAACACTCCCCACCGAATTCGAGAGTGTAGGACTAGCACTTGTAACCAGAATCTCTTGTAGGGAGAGCGTGACTGTTGTGTATAGATCTATACGGGACTGACTATCCCGCACCTCGCTGCTAGCTACAGTGGGACCGTCAGGTCTACGGGTGACGAAGTCATAAAAGATACTGGCCCCGTTACGTGCCATATCAAGTCTAAGTACGGTTATGACATTCACAACATAGATAACAGAACTTACTTTTGTAATAATGAAACAAGTGAACTAACCTCAAAGTAATAACCGATTTGATTACTAGAGGGTATTAATAATACCCTTAGGATTTAGTTCACCGCATATTTATTAGTTTTATTTATGTAATAAGGCTAATACATCTCACATGGAGCGAACAAGGTTTTTCAAGGAAACTACAACTAACGATACACGTATGGTAGATACTTGTACACCTCAGACAAGAACAGATAACCAACTATCAACTTTTAAGGAAAATATAGGATTTTCCTGGGATAACTCAACCTTACATAAACAGGCTGTTAAACAAATAACGAATGGATAATCAAACATCTTTCATAAGAAAATATAGGATTTTATTGGGAAACACTTTTCAAAGGATCAAAGAAAACATTTCTTTCACCAGAACTAAACGCTTATGAACTCACCAGCTTTATGCTGATATTTTAAAACTACTTGTATTCTCAGGGCAACAATAGACAGGTACTCTTGCCAACTTTTGGAGAAGACAGAGCATTTTGGAGTCACAGCTTTTACTTTTGTTATATACTGTTATGTACAAAATATGTTTTCAAACAGATGTAAATAATCATATTAATGTAATGGTTGTGTTTACTTTGCTTGCTATGATACAACTGGTGTGGTACTACGCATGACGTCACCCGCCCCCGAACGTTTCCGCCGTCCGTTCCGACGGTTCGGGGGTGTGACAGATTGGTATCAGAGCTATTGTTTGTAGTGAACTAAGTATACCGAACCTTACATGGTATACAACTATAAACACTAAGGGGCCGGAGTGCTCTGAACTAAAAGTATACTTTTAAAATAAAAGTATTTTTTTGCAAAAAGTATACAAGTATACCTACACACCAGAAACAATATCATGAGTAGAACAAAACAAAAGTATTTTTGGATGTTGAACACTGCGGTTAAACCTGGGCAGTTATGTAATCATGTCTAGGGTCAATATATCCTAATCAACTATATTTATTCGAGACATGACCAACATGTGCTTGGGAGTGACTTTGGTGTTGCAACAAGCCTAAAACTTACCTAGTATCCATACAACAAAGTATCAAAAGAACAAAACATACAACTTAAAATACTGTAGGAGTATTTTAGCCAGAGCCGAATACATTGTAGAAATTCATTCTTAGTGTTGCTACCTATTCGTTTCTTAGCGATAACTTACTTGCATTAGTAACCTTTCTTTGCTTATCGCTTGGTAGAACACTTTATTATCAGGATGGGATATATTTTGTTTCATGTATCTTGAGGACTTACCATCCTCTTCTTCCTGGTTGTTTCTAGAACAAGATGCCTCCCCGAAGAAGACCCATCAGAAGAAATGACGATACTCCACCACCACCACCACCCCCTCAGTTCGATCCCGCTATGTTCCAGGCAGCTGTTACTGCTGCTGTGGCTGCCGCGATGTCACAGATTAATCCTGGCGGATCTGGCGGGCAGGGAGGTGGTACTCATCCCCAAAATCATGAAGGTGGTCAGGGACACCAGAAGGAGTGCTCTTATAAGGACTTCATGAACGCGAAACCCACATCTTTCGACGGCAAAGGAGGGGTTATTGCCCTGACCCAATGGTTCGAGAAGATCGAGTCCATTTTCGAAATTTGTTCCTGTTCTGAAGTCAACAAAGTAAAATTCGCCGCTTGCACTTTCGCCAACAGAGCACTGACCTGGTGGAATGGTCGAGTCAAATCCCTAACCCTGCCAGTGGCGAATGCTATGGGTTGGGAAAGTTTAAAGGAACTCATGCTAGTTGAGTACTGCCCACGGGGCGAGATGCAGAAACTAGAGCACGAACTCTGGAACCTAAAGATGAAGGATTCCGACATTGCTGCCTGCACTTCTAGGTTTGAAGACCTAGCGCTTCTTTGCCCGGGAATGGTCACCCCGGAAAGCAAAAAGATTGAGAGATACATTTGGGGACTGACACAACCCACCAAAGGAAATGTCTTGGCTGCTAGGCCAAACACCTTTGACAGCGCCAAGTGCCTGGCACAAACCCTCATAGATCACGGAGTTGATCTTGATAAAGTGACAACCGCTCCCGAACTAACAAAGGTGAGCGGTGAGAAAAGAAAATTCTTGAAGCAGCGAAAGGGCCAGTCTTCGCAGGAGCCCTCAAAGAAACAGCAAACGGTGGCAGTCCACGCTGCTACTACTCCTGCCGCTGCTCCTGCCACTCAAGCACCTACCAGTAAATATGTTGGTACCCTTCCTCGGTGCGACAAATGTAACCATCATCATAATCCCGGCCCATGCCGAGAAATATCATGCACCAGTTGTGGCAAAAAGGGGCACACAGCTCGAGTTTGCAAGACACCAGTCCAACCAACCAATCAGGCATCTGGAGCAGGCGTCGGTCAAGCCTGTTATGGTTGTGGAGAAGTCGGGCACTACAAGAGAAACCGCCCCAAGGCAACAACGGCTGGTAGCACGGGGAGAGTGCTAGCGATGAGCCAAGAAGAGTCAGTTGCAGATCCCACCGTTGTTTTGGGTACGTTCCTCCTCGACAACTCTTATGCATGTATTCTTTTTGATTCTGGTGTGGAGAGAAGTTTTATTAGCCATGCATTCAAACATCTCCTCAAACATAAACCTTAACCACTAACTGAAACATTTACCGTCGAGATGGCTAACGGTGAGAAAGAGAGCACCAATGATATATACGTAGGTTGTACCCTTACCTTGAACGATCATTCATTTCCTATCGACCTTATGCCAGTTTCCATAAAAAGCTTCGATGTCATCATCGGCATGGATTGGTTGAGCCCCAATCATGTTGATATCCTTTGTTACGAAAAAGCTATCTGTCTCAATCTTTCCTATGGGGAAACTCTCATGATTTACGGTGATAAACTCAGTTCAAACCTCCGTATCATTTCATGCATCAAAGCCCAAAATTTTTTGCGAAAGGAGTGTCATGCATTCCTAGCCCATGTCATTAATGAGAAGCAGGAAGTTAAAGACCTCGAGAGCATCCCCGAAGTCTGCAACTTTCCCGATGTTTTTCCCGAAGATCTCACGGGAATCCCTCCCGAGTGCCAAGTCGAGTTTCGCATCGACTTAGTCCCCGGAGCTACCCCCGTAGCTAAATCCC